TACCTGTTTGTATAGTTTAGAAATACGCAACACAAAAAGTTATTATTATTTTAGTGTTGACGTTGATATTGTTATTTATTTGTTTGCTTGTTTGTTTTTTGTAGACGAAACTGACGAAAGTCATGAAAAGCTTACAGAAACACAACAAGGAAGGTATCTTGTAATCTAATTAAGCGTAATACTACAATTAGTTGGCAACCAAACATTACAGAATGAGAAAAACTGATTTTCATGTTGATATATTTACTATCGTGAGGTATGCCGAGGTTATAAGTCAAGGGGAAATTAAAACTAGGCTTTAATTGAGCGTTTAAGAAAGCGTTGTATGTTTTAAATGATTTGGAAAGGAGGTGGCCCCTTTAATGAATGTAAAACATGATGAATTAATTAATACTGCTCAGGCAATGAAGTGACACAGAATTTCTTTCTTTCACGTGAATTTTCAATTTTTGTTGCTTCACGAATATTTGCAAAGATCTTCTTTGAGTGTGAATCATGTCAAACGAATCCATAGTCCTCGATTAATCCATTAAAAGTTGAATCTATATGTAACCGTTGGCTATGAATTGTTGATTGTTGATGAATGTTTCGTTGTCGTTAATAACCTTGAGGTTAATCATCTGTCGGTTCCATATTTTAAAAACGTAAAAACACCAAATTTATAAATAGCTCCAAAGACATTCTCAACTAAATATTTGTTTGTTCGCAATAAACTTAACAAATGAAACCTTGACGATGGAGCATTTTGAAGCCAAATTGAATGGAATCTTTATAAATTTTCGCGCTTAATATTCAGCCAGTCACGTCTATTTGCTCAGTCCTCCTTTGAAAATTTGTAAATCCATCCACATTTCATATTGAAAATCTGGTGAATTGCTCTTTCATACTTTAGACTGCATTTTGTGTTGGTCCGTAGAATTAGAATGTCATTTATTTCCTGTTTTTACCTGATATCAGTGTAACTTTGCTCCGGAGAATTTTTGAAAGCAAGTTTTACTTAGCGTGCCATAGCTCTACATCTTCTTTCTTGGTAATTTGTCGTCTGCAGTGGAGATATTGCTCACTAAGTACAGAAATTAAAACGTGCACAATGTTTAAATTTTGGAATGCAATTCGCCCAGCGTGAAAGGTCAACTTGAAAATTTCATGTGATGTTTTGAAAATTAAGCATGTAACTTCAAGCATAATATTTATTGCGAACGGTGTGATTAGATGTGTCAGAAACTATCAGGGTCGCTACCTTGTGCAGAGTGCGGCTCTTATGCATGAAAAATAGGTTAGTTCTCGTACATAATGAAACCCAAAACTCAAAATAGAGTTGTTTGTGCTGATGTTTCAATTTGCGCAAAAGGTGTGAAACATATTGTTTTTAACTGCGGGACGCAAACGGTCTCGTGTAAGACAAGCGCGATGGCTTTCTTTGATAACGAAGAAAGTGAAAATTGAGCCGATGAATTATTTAGTGCATCACAACAAGGTAGACCCGGTTTCCAAATTCTTTGTATTTACCGCAAAACCATGTTGTCAAACAGTGGCCTTCGTTTCCATGATCGATTGTGATAAGAAAAAGTCTCATATGAAGGTAAGCCATGTCAGAGCGCGCAAAACTTTCAAAACTTTCCTCTGAAAAACTCTCATGATTAAATCTATTTTGGTCAGTTGATTGTTAAGGCCTTATGAATTTGAATAAATTTAGAGAAATCTTGGACCAATTCCTCAATGTCATAATTAACAAATAGGCTGGAAAAGGTTATTCCGCCGGTCCAACTAAATCGAAAATTTTCATGATTGCTAATCATTTTCAATTCACACTTGTTACAAATTCTCTTAATATAAATACGTGCACAGGCATTTTGTAACGATAATTAAAATTGCGACAGCTATAATGAGTTGGAAGGAGTTAATGATTTTATGCAGTAAACGTTCGAGGTAAAAACCTTTACGATCGTTCTCACCAAGTATGTTCATCTGATCCTTTTTCCATTATTTGAAGCAGTTAAAATTATTGTGTTTTTTTCAGTTTATCATAGAATGAAAAATGATTAATCTTTGTTTCCACGGTTTACCGCTGTAAAGTACATTATTTGATTCTCGGACTGAGAAGAATTAAGATCGTTTGTTAATTTGAGCAAAAATCAAGAAAACGACGATTTGTTTTTACCTTAAAAGACACTTGGGAATACAGATTTTTAACTAGCACCCTATTATTTGTAATTTGAAAAAGCAAGATCACAATGATTGATCCTAATTATTAAATGTGTACTTGTTTGCAAACTGTACTTGTTTGCAAACTTATCGTTTTGTCTGAATTGGCCCTCAGAAGTGTTAAGTACTTCTTTAGATCAACAAAAAAAATTGCCTTTGATTCTTGCGGTTTACGACCGGCAATAGTCGTTCTTTATTCATTTTTGTCTGTTTCGTCTGGGTCTAAATGATTCACCAACAATATGATTATCTGAGGCTCCTATTGAGACTCAGGTTAGTATGTTCTGGCTTAACAAATTACACAGCTGGTTCCTCCTCTTCTTTCTCAAAACCTCCTTCCTAAAGTGAGTCCCTAAAGAACTTTTTTTCTCTGCAGCAACGTAAAAGGGAAACGACGATTTATTCGATGAATGGATCAAGTCAGCTCTTTTGTAGTTTCTAATGCTTTCCTTAGATTCGTATCTTTGTGAAACTACGCCGCGCGTTTAGAAAATAGTGGTTGCTCTTTAACTCTGAAATATCCTTCAGAAATTATCAAATATGTCAGGATTTCTGAAGTGTATGCGCGATAACTGCTCTGCTCATGAACCTTTTAACTCTCAGAAGTGATAAACATGTAACTACTCTCTATAATATCCATTTATTATCCAGCAAACAGGTAATGAGAATACTCAAATTTATCGGTTAAAAGTTGTTATCTTGATTCAACACCTAATTCTCGTAACTAATTTACAAGGAAATGTCTTGCAGTTAGAAAGGAGAATCTTGATTACCAATCAGATCTTAAGACTTAAAGACTGAAGCCTTACTTTGACTTTCGTTTCCATCTAGCTCTTTAAGATTTGGTCACGGCAACTTAAAATCATTACGTAATACGTTTAAAACCCGTGCGTACAGTCGGTTCATAGCTTTAACCATAAGAACAAGTTCCTCGGTCGCAAAATAAGCGTGATGCATGAGTCCACAGTAGTCGTATATTTAACAAATTGACGATGGTTTAGCGTGGTCTGTACTCTTTTCGACGACGATATTCGTAATCCGTCAGTGGTCAAAACGTTGCGAACTCACGAGGCACAGACCACGAGGTCAAAATTTCCGAGTCATCCAAGTTTGAGAGCTGGTAAAGGCATTGCATGACACGCTGACGCGAGCAGCCTTGCCTTTACACTTATCGAAAAACAACAAATTTGCCGATCAGATTGTGATATTACTGCCAATTGTGGTAAAGTTATAATTCCCTCCCATTACTCCAGGCTCTCTCTTTAGTTCTACTTGAGACTGAGTTGTATTTTTTGAATTCGATAGACAACTATGCTGCTTCAATATCAATTGTGTCAATCGGGTTGCGTGATCGTGCAGCAGTCAGCAGTCCTTAAAATGAGAAATTATGGTCAGTCACAATGACTGACGTTTTTGCGACTCAAGCGGAAGTCAAGTTTAACTGCAGCGATGACTTCCGCTTACGTTAGGGTCAAGTGGTCTGCGGGGGTACAAGCATTTATTTTTTCGCTGAAACCAATTTCCATAAAAATGCTTATTTTTCTTACTACCAATGAACAGATTTTTTAAAGACATGATGCCTTAAGCTATTTTTATATCTGCACCATTTTCCGCATTACTTTCGAGTGAAAAGAAAAAATTCATATTTGCATATGATGATACATCCATTCGGAATAGGAACAACGATCCAGTCAAAGATGACCTAGATCCACTTTCAGCAGCAGAACTCCAGAAAATTTGTTATTTATGCTGTTAGTAAACGAATTATTATCTTTCAATTAGGGCCTCTGAGGAAAGACATGAAGCGTTCACAGAAGCCAAAGAAGAAGGTATGATTATTTGCATATTCAGTTGAAGTTCACTTGACTAGTGCTTTACGGTCACACATGTTCCTGTGATGCACAATCAGTTACAGAAATTTTGCAAACTAAGCCAGGCGTCAACACTAACTTTTCAACTTACTGGCTCAGTGATTAGTAACAACTTAGATGTTACAACAATTTCAGTTTGTTTACTAACCAAACTGGCCAGTGGAAATCGAAAACCCTTAGCTAAAACTGAATTTCTAATAGTCTGCGGCTAGTTGGCTTCTGTTAGTGTCAGAAGAATGACAACGGGTCACATAGTTTTCGGTCAGATTCTGTGCTTTACGATGGGTAGGCGGGGAAACACTAATCTCATCGAAACATGAAAAAAAAAAAAAAGGTATTTTCTTTCTAGAGAAAAACAAATTTTTAGCCGCAGTATTAAAATTAGCCTAAGGTGCTTGCTCGTATAGCGCAGCCAGATAGTCGCCGAGAAATGCCATACGCAGCTGATGTATTTTAGACAGTTATTGGAATTAATAATACATTCTATAGAAGTGTTTTGCAATTTTTATTGTTACATGCTGACAACCCCCCAAAAATTGTTTCCTCTGCTTCCGTTTCTGGAGTGTTTCAACTTCCTGAGTACCCAGTTTTACTATTAATCTAAACGTCGGATGAGCATATTTTTAGTCATGTTGTGTTACATCATGTGAAGAACTTGTCAACAACTGAAGAAAGTTCTCTAACATCTTACAAACTTCTAAGCAAAAGTGGTTCACCGGCTCCACAGACTCCTTCTAATAATCTTTCATGCGCAGGAAACCGTACTGATTTTAAGAGATTGAATCTACCAACTCCTTCTATCGATTTGAAAATCGTCAGTTTGTTGTTAATAAGGTTTGCATTAACTGCCGAGATAAATGATTTAGATGAGACAGAAAGAATATATGTGTGTAAGATTTTTGGCGCTAATAAGGAAATTAAACGAGGTATTGCCAATTTCAAGTCTATGGATTTTCCTTAGTTTACATCCATTGTTATGGCCTTACCTCTCCGTTGCATTAGCGATTTTCGGCGCTCTACCAAATTTTATGACAAGTCACTTACAACTTATATACCACAACAGCAATAAGAATCAGAATAGAAAAGCACGTCGAGTTCCGGCAAGTTGGAGAATTCACGTAATACTTTGTACTCAACTAGGCCAATACTCTCAAAGACTTGCACTTGTAAATCAATATAGCTTTATAGCATACCTAGCAGCAGGTACATCTTTTGTCGCAGAGTAAACAACAACTATTGCATTTGGTTCAAATTTCATCTCCGCACGCAAAGTAGTTTAAGCAAAATTCACTTTTGTGACGCACTTCTTTTTTTTTATTCCTGTCTTGTACGTTCTCAAAACGTCGGGCCTTAGAAGCCGTCATGACAAATCTACGCGTTCTATTTGAGAGTATCAGTTGACGTATTTCACGCATATCTCAAAATAAGGCGGGTCATTATGAAGAAAAATAATCGTGGCATTCGCAAAAATAAGGTGAGATAATGCAAAATTATGTTCTTATGTCATGTTTAGTTGACGAAATGTTGTTTTCGAACAAACTAGGCGGCATGAATTATCGAAAGTAAAACTGCCTTTCGTATCTCAAGGAGATATATATGTCAGTAAGAGAGTTAGTCAAGTAGAGGAAATGGAAAAAGCCCAAAATTTCTGAATCATATCTGAATCATACTCATATACTTGTAAAACGCGTAGCAGCAGTGACATGGAAACAGCTTCATTACAATTTCTCTGTTGGTTAGGCGACGCCGGTACATTACAACACTAATAACCCTCGCCATCGCCTCGCCTAAAGTCTTGGCATTGTGGTTAAATTCTTATTCACGCAAGAAAGTCGATTTAAAAGTCGCATTTTCTTCATAGAATGTGGTAGGGCTCTCTGACTTTTATTTTAATACACTAAATTTTATTATTAATTCAATTTTTCTTATAACTTAGCACATTATTGTGTTCTCAATTTTGCGGTCATGGTGCAATTGCCTCAAGAAATATATTCTCTAGTTGTTCTGAATTCTCCAGAGGGCAACAAAGATGGGAAAATATTGCTGGCCAAGAAGATGAAAACTTATTTATTAATGAATTAGACAGTTGGAAATGATAAAGCTGTTCTATCGACCAAGGAAGCATTTCGGATGCGGTTTTTAGTTAAAGAGATGCATGGTTTTCCTCATTTTTCCAAACATTTATTCCAGGTATCTATTTCGTGAAGAGTTTTTTAGTTTCCTGCACCGCTCGTGATGTTATAGTTCGTAGGGATATCATCACAAAAGAGGAGCAAATAAACTTATATTTAATTTGCCGGGTTACGAGGCGATACCAGATGTACAGATAAACGGGAAAATTAATTTTGAATGAGGCTCGATTTTTGGAAGGGTTTAAATGGGTTTTAAAGCAAACACACCCCCGAAGAGCTGCTGATATGAAGCTAGCATTTGAACTTAACAAACACAGCTCTGTAAAAGTGAAATTATCAAAAGCGTCAGTAACCAAGGAAACTATCCCTTGGTCGAGAAAATTGCAGCGGAACGCCGACGTGTGGTTTCTGACGTAAGCAAGCATCATATGCTCGTCAATAACACGTTTTCAATTTTGCCTCGACAAATGTTTTATTCACGATGAGAAACGTGCTGTAATTGTTCGTCTCCTCAGCTGCAGGCAGTCAGTTGAAAGTATGGTCGATATCGTGTGACCGATAGTCCTGATCGCCCCGTCACGCTGATATTTTTGATGATAATTATCATGCATGTTTGTTATGGGCTGCTTGCTCTTCTGCTAGAACCCATGCCTTGCAACGCACTGCATGACATGGGTTCGAGCCGTGGCCGGGTTACCAAGTTGGGCCCAAGGTCAAAACAGTGTACTCATTCGCTACCCGACCATACTGTCGAGGAAACGTGACGACTTTTCAGATTAATGAACCTCCTCTGGGTTGCCACCTGCAGTTGCCCTTAGGGTGGTCACGTGATGAGAAAGTTTGTCGCTTTTTCGCAAATTAACTCTTTCAGCTCATCGGGAAGCAAAACAATCGCTTTAGGAAAGAGCAGGTGAGATATTTTTGGAAACAAATCTAAGGTCATTAGTTTGCCTCTGAAAAAAAAAAAAAGAAAAAGAAAAAAAAAAAACAGAAACTTGTAGGTATAGAGTTAGGTCGCTGAAGGTGAAAACTTTCACCAGACTTAATAAGCCCCCTTTGGCGTTATCACGTACTTATATCATTCAATTAATGTTTGCATTATTTTGCATACTTTCTCCAAACTTAATGAGCCCCCTTTGGCGTTATCATATATTTACATCATTCAATTAATGTTTGCATTAGTTTGCATTACCTTCTCAAAAACTATCAACCACCACGCAACCCTAGGTCTCATGCTGATTATATTGTTTTTATGGATCCTGATCAAAGGCTTTTTTGATGACCCACAATGATGTGGGACAGCAGACATGTGAAAAAAAAAAAAATTGACTATCTAATGATTACATAACAGAACCTCACGATTTAAGACACTCTGTTTTTGTTTTTGTTGACACTGCAGTGTGGTTGCAGTAACAATGAGACAAAACACATCAGACCACCTATACTGTTTTACAATGCATATCGCGCTTTTTCATCTCCTGAAATCAATCGGGTAGCATAAGTCGTCGACAAGTTATGTTTAATGCGATACATTTTTGTGGTCTTGGTTTTATTTTCTTGGTAGTCATTTCGGCTCCAGCTGACAACAATAGGGAAGACCTGGGAAACTATAATTTTTTTTTCATTAATTTGCATCAAGTTTTTTTAAGAGGATCTTCGTTCACCTTCTCTTTTTGAAGAAAAACTAAGAAAAAGTTAGACCCTTGTTTTTCCATTTGTATTAGGTTGTGACTGCAAGTTATGATTGAGAAGTTCTCCGTATCTCTAGGCCGGTACTTTGTTTTATGGGCTTTCTGCAGCAATTGATCTCGTGACTTAATTTTGTCTCGGCAACAGTTCGCCTTTCTTCAATTGGAGCAAGATGTAAATATAGCTTGTCAAAGTGGACAATCCTTCAAAACTCGGAAACGATAAAAGTTCGCCCAAAATGTAGGGCTATGTTCTGAAGTGTCGGATCTCGCCACCCATGTATGCTTTGCTACCTTTCTATAACGTCAAGAAATGGTTAGATATTCTAGTCTTCTCGGATATGGACGAATAAATGGAGGTCCCGTCTCCTGCAGGGTTGGGGGTAGGAGACGTTAATTTCCCACACACGAGATTACAGCTGTGTGATGGATGTGCTCCCCAGCAGGGTGGGATGGGTGGGTTTACTGTCTGCGTTGTTTGCCTTGTCGGCCCCATCGTGCGAATTTGGCAAACTGTATTAACTTGTCGCCCATGGCTGATTATGCTAATAACTTGACTAGATCTCGGGGTCCCCTTGAGACCCAACACAATAGACAAAGGATTGTAACCCACCTGTCACGCGATAGCGCAACGAGATCTAGTACTTCTTTTATTTGACGTGGGGAAGACCGATCCATGCGACGTCATCTCAGGTCTATTCCACTTTCTCGCCATGTTGAGAAAAAACGCCACGATCTACCCAGTTTTTACCTGGCCAATGCACGCCCCCTTGAGAAAAAATTCGATGAGCTTACTGCACAGCTACTATCTACTTGTATGGATATCGCAGTAATCACTGAGTCATGGTTTAATGATAGGGTTATTTGACGACAGTGTCCTCACCATCCCGGGCTATGTTCTACAGAGGCGTGATCGCCCGACTCGCGAAGGCGGTGTCTGCACTTTTATTTCATCCAGCATCCCACTCAAAAGGAGGTCGGATCTGGAGCCACCAGACCACGAGTGTATGTGGCCATGGCTGCCTCCTCCGCGCCTGCCCCGCCCTCTCTCTGGTATCGTCGTTGGTGCTATGTAGTTCCCTGAAGCACCTGGTGACTTACAGCGAGCTCGTGTTAGTTATATCATCGAGTGTATTGACTCTGTTAAGTGTGCACATCCGGACTGCGGGGTGGTACTTTTAGGTGATATTAATTCCCTGGAAGTTACGAACATCCTAGCAAACCACAGCCTAAAACAGCTTGTTCGCGAGCCTACAAGGGGTAATAATATTTTAGACTTAGTGATATCAAATCTAGCTTCCTCTTATAACAAGCCTATTGTAAGCGCACATTTAGGGTCTTCTGACCACCGTTCGGTTTACTGGGTACCCAATTCTAATTATGGCTCCAACATACTGGCGGCCAAGAAAAAAGTGGTTAAAATGCGTCGCTTTCCAGAGTCGGCACTCAATGCCTTTGGGAGATGGGTTAGCACGCATAGCTGGTTTACACATACGTGCGCAGTCGACTTCTTATCGGTGGATAGTCTGGCATCGTCGTCTTCTGATGACCTCCGCAAAGCTATCAACATCTACTTCCCAGCCAAGAGTGTCAAAATGCATCCGACTGATAAACCTTGGATGTCTACCGAATTTAAATCATTATTCTGGAGCGGCAGCGCACACATAATTATGGGTCTAGCGTCAGATGGCGACTCCTGAGGAATAAAGTGCGCATATCAATCTGTAAGCGCAAGAAGGAATTTTTCGCCGAAAAGGTGACGAGTCTTAAAACCTCAGACCCTAGAAGCTGGTGGAGCCTGGTGAGCAAGCTTGCTGGCAAATCTTCTACCGATTCCGAGTTAAGCTATCCTGACGAACATTTGATATCCAACCACTTAATACCGCCGCACTTCCTGCTTTCTTACCATCACCAGACCAACCACCAAGTATTACCACCTTAGCTGTATGTCGTAAACTACTTGGTCTTAGTGCCTACAAAGCCTCAGGGCCGGATGATATTCCTACGCGCCTCCTCAAAGAATTTGCACTCGAGCTCGCTGAACCGGTAACTGCGATCTTCAATCGCTCAGTGTCATCTGGCGTGTTTCCAGAACGGTGGAAGGACTCTCTTTTAACACCAGTTCCAAAGGTTAAACCCGTCACAGGTGACGGGGACTTGAGACCTATCGCCTTGACCCCAGTGCTCTCTAAGGTGCTTAAAGATTTCATTGTTGAGTGGCTGATAGACGACGTTAAACATCATATAGATCCCCAACAGTTCGGCTACCTTAAAGGTACTTCTACAACCTATTGCCTATTGGATATGCTACATAACTGGTTATCGTCCCTTGACTGCCCTGGCAAGTTCATCCGTGTGTGCTTTCTCGACTTTAGCAAAGCATTTGACCATATCGACCATACTATCTTGGTGACTAAGTTAATCCACCTAGGTGTCAGAGACTGGTTGATCGGTTGGATTTGCAGCTTCCTCAGTGGCCGTCGTCAGGCTGTTAAGCTCTTGGACTCCATCTCAGGGTGGGTGGATGCCCGTACATGCCGGTGTCCCCCATGGTACCAAACTAGCTCCAATCTTTGTTTTGATAATGAGTAACGATCTGGCTACCCACTCCCCCCTCCGCTCAAACCGCTAGAAGTGTGTCGACGACGTTACAATATCTTAGGTTACCAGTTTAGGGTAGGTGTCATCTCTGCAGAACGACATGGACTGCATTTCGCAATGGGCCCAGAAGAACAACATGAATCTTAACCCTAAAAAAATGTAAGACCATGACTATATTTGTCCACTCAAAACCAAACCTGTCTCCTCAATGCCCTCTATCAATAACTTACCTCTAGAGGTTGTATCATCTCACAAAGTACTCGGTCTGACCATGAGTAACACCCTGAAGTGGAACGATAACACCAACGATATTGTTTCCAAGGCGTCCAAGCGACTGCACATTCTCAGGGTCTTGAAGCGCGTTGGAGTCCCTCCGGCGGATATTGTCACCATGTATAGTGCCCTGGTTCACTCTGTCCTAGAATACTCCTCTGTTGTTTGGGCTTCTTGCCTTCAACAGGCTCTTGCTCAAGCCAACATTACCAGTTTGGAGGATAGACGCGCCCACTTATGTCTTAAAGTGTGGCACAATATCAAAAATAATCCCGCCTGCCAGCTGCACCGTCTCCTCCCTCCCATGCGATCCGAGTGTCACTCTTACCACCTTAGGAACAGTAGCAGTTGTAGCCGTTTTCAGTATAGAACAAAACGCTTTGGTTGTAGTTTTTTCCTAGCAATGGCGAAAATTAACTAATCATAAGGTCTACTTATCTCTATTATAGCATTTTATTTCCCTATGAATTGTTGATTATTTATAATAGCCTGTAATCCTAGTCCCTCAAAAACAAATGTAATTTTATCTATTCGCGTAATATATTATGTAAACACACTGTAATTCATCATTTTATTCCACCGTGTGTAGTTTTTAATAAGCCATCATCTAAATGTTACTAAAATGTTAGGATTTTAGAAATTTCTCTGTTTTTCAGCTCTGAAATTATACTAAAACAATTATTCGCCTCAGGTTCGGTGAATATTGTCGAATAATCCCCTCGACTTCGTCTCGTGGATTATTCGACGATATTCACCTCGCCTTCGGCGAAAAATTGTTAAATGTGATCACATCAGATTTTTGTTGATAAGTTGGGTTTCCTTAGCTATCGTTCTATTGAGCGTATGTTAAAAACACTTAACTCGCTTGGTTTTTTTCTTCTTTCTCGTGAAGAATTAGTTAAAGCTTAAGAGTTCCACTCTTTTTCCACGCTTATTTTGTCATTTCATTAATAACCCCAGCTCGTGATGGTTACTACTAGAAGTAGCAATGCTATACCTTCCCAATCTCGATCCTAATAAGGAAACCAATGAGTCTCTTTGCTAGCTGTCAGTATTCGTTGAATGTCTTCAAATAGTTCTTAAATTTTTTTTGTTTTCGTTTGTCTTTTGTACGTCGAGACAATAGCGGGAAATTTCGAGAGAAACTGGTATCTATACAACATTAAATTTATAACAGATGCGTAATGCATCACCAGAGTTACATCGAATTCATTCGTGAAACATGCAACAAGGACTTATGCTTAGATTACAGTAATTACAGTAATGTACGTGTGCGGCTTCTACATTTTATGGTTAAATTTCACTTAATGCCATTTAAACGTATAACCGTTTTTCTCTTGCAGAGGATGAGTGCGTCAGCGCTGGGAGCGAAGATGTTCCAAGCAATCCGCGAAGGGGACGTAGACGCGCTTAAGGAACTTCTGGAAGAACAGCCTGCCCAACTAAACGACGTCAAAACGGTAGATATGAACTTTGGTAATGTTTTTTTTTACAATTCTTCTGCTTATAATTTAAGACTACATTTAAGTAGCTTGTTTTCAATTTTTTTTTTTTAACGCTGTGCATCCAAAAATACGTCTTTCATTTCTTAGTGTTTGATCTCCTACGGGAGGCAAATCCGTACTTTTGTTTAACCTCTAAGGCAAAAAATAGGGAAGGTATTCTACAACAAGTTTGCTTTGAATTCATTTAACAGAAACCCTTATGAAGTTCAGCAATAACGTGTAGAGAAAAGTGTTCAAATTTTCATCTTTGATATTTCCTTCTAATCAGCATTGTTTCGCTGCCTACAGAACTTTAAACCTCGAACAACTTTTGATATTAGCATTATGCTAATCTGTATTGGGATAAAACGGTTGAAAATATCCTTATTTTCATTCCCTATAATTTAGTAGCTGTTATTTACCGTGTTTAGAAGTTGCCAAAATTGTTTGAGTCTCGGGGTTTTTGTAAACCAAAAATTTATAGATCTTGTCGGATGTTCAAAAGAAGCGAAGACACATTTTTCATTTGGTTCCAATATTTCTTTCTTAATTGTTTGCGTGGAAAACTCATCACTTATCTTTCCATGACTCGTCATGTTTTATTTTTGTGTAATGTTGACAATCCACAATTAAAAACGATCACTCTTCATGTCCCGACAAAAGGCTTTTGTGTTATTCAACATAAGAAATCTTCGCTTCTTTTTTTTCCAAAATTTTGAAACGTACAATTTACGAGTTCAGTTCCTCGATGACTGACTTTGTCCTTGAGACAGAAGATGTTTATCTTCTCCTTAATTAATTTTATTTAACTCGCCATGCATAGAACAATAGTTTTAATTTTCGATGCCCCTAATTATTTCCTAAAACAGTCGTTCCAGCACCAACACATCTTCCTAACACTTGACACTTTACAAAGTTGATTTTCTTTAACAGCAATTTTCGGCTTTTCCCTCCTTAAAGGTGGCTTAGAAACACAATTTTCACCTTAATGAAGCTCTGCCAAGACTACTCATAAAATTTTAAAGATCTCACCATATTCATAACTGTGACCCACGTCTTTCGTGGTTACGTAAACGTCTCTTTAACTTCGCGAGTTTCAGAATATTTCGGCTTAGATTTTATCCTTTTTTTTTCGTGTAATGCTCCCCAAAAATTTGCGCTTGACAGTTAAATCGTCTGTGCGTACTTTCAGGCGACAATGTGACTCGTGTTGCAATTTCAAGTATGGGAGATGTCAATAAAAACTTTCCCCTCTGTTTTAGTTGTCAAAATTGTCATTCGAAGTGTATACAAAACGCATATTATAGGAATCAAACATGACTTGTTAACTCTTTACTCGCGTTCAAGAGAGCTTCTAACCACACGTTGCTAGTTTCTCGGTCCTTTTCTCAAATCTTTATTATTCTTTATCGAGTAGTCCATTTTGTCGTGTTAATTCAAGTTCTGAGAATCTGGATTTGCATTTCGACGCTTATGCCCGAGCCTGAGGTTTGTTAAAACGAAGTTTAAATATGTTTTGCCATCTGCTTGGAAGCAAACATAAAAAAGTAATAACATGTGTTAGACTTCAACGCTATTGAAAATTGTACAACTTCCGGTTTCTTATTATAGTAACTGCACTGCTGATTAAACCAAGGTCCCTTTGATAAGAACTGGATTGAAAATTTTTATGCTTAAGTCGCTATTCGTGCACCTGCTTTCTTTGTGAAAACAGAACGTGAAAATCGTGTAAATCAAATAAAGCTAAGTCCTCTTTGAAATATTTTTTCTTTTTTCCTTAGGGAAGTCAAATAAGGAAAGTTGCCTCAAGGTAGCTTCGTTCTTCTGGAACATTATGGTGTAATTGTGGCGATTGGCACTCAAAAACAATTAAATTTTTTTCTGAGCACCCTACTTTAATTTCCGCTTTTAAAATAAAACTTTTTCATCTCTCAGATCTGTGAAGGAACTAATTAGTTTGCAAGAAATGCAGATATTAAAAACTCAGCTATTCGGTCATTAAGAGCTTAACGGAACACGAAACCAATAATTTTCCGTTAAAAATCGGAATATTCGAGAGTGAGAGAGAGAGAGAGAGAGCCTTGCAATATCGAGCATCGCAATCAAATCATCGTCAGCTGAATAATTACTTGACAACAATGGGAAAAACTTTTTGTACCGCCTTCTTGAAGAAAGAAATAACACAGCGTTGATATTGAGTGATTTAATTTCTTACTTCAAAGGCTTTGACGTAAGAACACCGTCTGTCGTTTCTTTTCAGACTATGAGTAATCAGAACCCTCGAAAAAAGGTTTTGTCTGCTTAGAGCTCCACACTTACCGAAGCAGTATATCGGAGGAAGGATAGGCTCTCATAGAACAGATCTGAGAGAATAGCGCAAATTTGTTAAAAATGCGATTTGTTGCGGCTTCTAAATTTGAATTAGTTTCAGAAAAGCCTTGTTTAGTGGAGGCTGGGACTAGTGACGTTGTTACAGTAATTAGGTTCCGCGCTTCAGTAAGAAGTCGGCAGGAAATAAAAAACAAACAATTTTTGTATCGTTAGGTCTGCAGATAGCTGAAAAAGAATCTTAACAGGGTATTTTAAACTCCTGCGAGGTGATATTCGGGATAAACTGTCAAATTACAAAAAAAAAAAAAAAAAACGAAAATGTCCGGGTAAAGATAACACTGATGAAGGAGCAATTTTTCTTTAGGGCGGGGATTCTGGGCTATGTAAGAGTCAAGCAGCAATTATCGCAATACATAGTTTTAGAAATATCCGGCAGCACTCCCTCTTTAGCGCCCTCCAGCACCTCTTGATGGAATTAACATGTTACTCCTTCTCGTCGTTTCGAAAACATCATATAACAAGCAGGTCATAAGCAATGAAAAACTTATCACGTAGGGTTTAATTTCTTGTTAAACAACCTACTAAAAGTCTCTGAAAATTTACAAGGAAATATAGAGAGAAGAGAAAATTATCAATTCATTTTTAGGAGCTAAGGAGTGTACTAGATAAATCTTGCTTAAAGCCGGCTGTAAAAACTCCTAGGGATAAAAAAAAAATAGCCTGAAAACATTTTTGTTAATCGCAATGGCCCGGCATCTAGGTTATAGGCATCTGAATTGCTTCATCTGAAGTATCTTGCATTTCACTAATGTATACGATAATACATGATAATTCGAGATTTACTATGATATATATGCATATGATGCCTCGACGACTGATCTCATAGCCGTAAGGTAAAGCTCTTAAAACAGAAATTTGGTCGTAACGACACCATCATCTCTTATTGTTCAGTGTTCGAGCAGGTTAAGCGTTGTTTCACTGATTTAGACGGTGTTGTGTCAGTGGAGACACTCACTCTTTAATTACTTTCCATATTCCTTCTGCACTCATTAATCAAGTATCTAATAAACTGGTACAATCATGTTACTCGATTGCAGTAATTTCACATCGTTCGATAGTCCTACGGTAATGTTAACACTAGTACAAGTACTTTTACTATGTTCTCAATGTTCGGCTATCGCCTCGAGCGACTCTTACGCTTCTTTCGTGCTTAGCAACCTCCCGCGTGCATCCATAACTCAATAGTGTACGCTGTGGTGTTTACCATTTGTTAAGTAGAGAAAACAAAATCATTTTTGGCCTGCAGCATTGATGTCCTACTAATTGGAAAATTCATTGTGATAGATGTGAAAATTCGAGAGGAATCATTACTTATGGTAGACGAGAGGTAAAGCTGTTGAAATAAAACTCTTCTCTTAACGGCGCCACCTTCTCCCGTTGTCTGTCAGTTATTCAAAATCCTATTGAGTTAAACATGATTTCAATCAGACACAACAAGAATCCATGATTTTATTTAGAGAACATAAAATAATTTTTTTCCTGGAGTATTTTCGTTGTACTCTTTGGAAAATGCATTATGATACAAATGAAAATTCGAGATGAATCATGATTAATGATAGATCATTATGGTAGCCCGTAGGCGAATGTCATAGCCGCAAGGTAATACTGTTGAAACAAACCTTTGCTCGTGACGGCGCCATCATCTCCCGATGTCTACAACGTGTAGACATTTTAGACACATAGTAATAGTAATATAGTTTATATCTGACCAATCTTGTTTTTATTTTCTAATGGTGCTATTTTTACCTTGGGTACTTTTTTTTCTCAATTTGTGGAAATGCAAAGTAGTTATTAATCTTGTAAACGTCTGGTTAATTTCTGACATCTGCACGGTATAATTTTGCAGGAAGAAGGTGACTTTGCACTTCACGTAGCAACCCGGTTAAAGAACACTGAAATAGTCGAACTTCTCATGGAACATGGAGCAAGCGCCAACATTCAAAATGTAAGTGATTCAAATAACAACTAAATTTTTCCCATACAACTCTACTAACGCTTGAGCACATTTTTACTGATCAAGTATCAGTTTTTAAACAAGTTTGAGTGTTGGTTGGAGAGAGTTTCGTCACAATTTGACAACCCTCAAGGGTTTAGCCTGAGTTTTCGAGTTCGTCATGAACCATCGATTTTAATCTTTGTCAGCGCTAAGTATTCTTATCCTTAATGTGCTAATACTTCACTTTTGTCTTTCTATCGTTTTGAAGGGCGTTTTACCCAGTACAAAAATCTAAATTTGACTAGATAGGATAGTCGTTATCCCATGTAAATGAATGAAATTTTCAAAGAATCTTTTCCTTTAACCCTTTAACTCCCATGAATGACCAAGATAGAATTTCTCCTTACAATATCAATACAATATCAAGCAGACAAGTGTTGAGAATAAAGAAAAATATCAATTAGTAGATAATAAGTTGATCCAATACCAAATTCCCTAAACTGACATCATAAGAATTGTATGGCAGACAGTAACGAGAATCAATGACGAGATCTTGGGTGTGAAAGGGGGGTTAAAGACCAAAGGAAAAAAAGGGCCAAATGTTAGAAAATTCTATAGAAGTTGAAGTCATACATTTGTTTTACAGGATGGAGGTCAGACCCCTCTTCATATCGCCGTATCCAACGAAGATGAGGCAATGGTTAACTTTCTCATCAGTCGTAGTGCTAAAACTGATATTGCCGACAGTGTAAGTTGATGTATTTTTTTTCTCATGAATCTTAACGCATTTTGATTGGTTCTTACTTATGATGTGTCGGAGGACATGCGCATCAGTGACGCACTCGGCTACGCCACTTAATGTTCTTTCTACATTTTGACGTCATCTTTGATCTATTACTGTACAAACGAGCGGAGACATGGAATCTATAGGCGGATTCATGCTGTCGTCATTGTTTACATTTTTGCTCATTTGCATACGGCTTTGCGTAAAGAAGGAAGCATGTTAGATACAAATTGACTTCAGGCAGCTAAAGAGCTAGAAAACCTTAGTACATGGTGAGATTTTTAGCTCTTTGGGTGTAATATTCAAGGAGAAATAGTCCATCAAAAACTGCAAAATTTCTGGGTGGCAAAAGCGCTAATGAGCTTATACATTCTATGTAAGATTTTGACTTTTTAAACTCGTGTTGCACAAAAAGTATTCAATGCATCAGGCTCGTATTCATTGGCCGAGTTAATCGTACTTTGACCTTTCGATATTCAGAACTGATTTATTTTTAGCTCCATCAGAAACTGAATTGCTTATGCTAATGAGGCAAATATTGTAAACAAGGATTCCCCTATTGGATAATTGCTATAGCATGGGACAGAGCTGAATAATGAAATGCTACGTCAGAGGGTATGCAGTCAACAACGCGGGCTCAAGTGTCCTAGGTCTAAAATTTACCAAAATAAGCGGAAAATAATAAGGGCTGACTTTTAAAACCGAGGAACTCTGTTTTCATCGAAGGCATTTTCCTCATTCCAGAGGTTTTAAGGAGAAAATTAGTTTTTGAAAATTTTTAGGGGGTGTACCAAGTTTTTGGCGGTTGTTCTGTAAAAGAAAAGCGGCAAGGAAAACGTCACCTCGAAGCAACAGAATAGGAAATCAACCATGTGAACGACTCAAAACTCGTGTTTCCGCGGCAAAACTTAGCGCATGCGTATACATTATTCAGCTCTGTCATAGCATGGTATATTGTACTACACGGCAGTGATGACAAAACCAGTGTCTTCCAAGGCATATAAACCTTTTAGTCTTCATGGTATACTGAGGAACTGCTGTTCGTCACAAAGTTGTTATTTGTGGGTCTTTTCAGTAATGGGTCACAAAAAAGTCACATTAAATTTGGTAGAAACATCAGTAATACACAGCTGCGCATGTGTGCCACTGTTTTGTTCTCACCACATTTTGATATCATCTGTGACTTGTTACTGAACAAACGCATGGCATCACGGTATCTATTTTACCTTCTAACTCTCAAGATCTGTTTGTTTATTTTCCACTCTAGCTGCTACACATTCTCTTGTAAATTATTTTTATAAGAATTTGATGTTATAGATCATGATAACAAATTTCTACCTGATAAGTTTTCTGATAATGTAGGGATATTATAGAGAGAAGTTACATGTTAATCGCTTCTGGGAGTTGAAGGGTTCAGTAGGGGGCGTTTCGCATATCGTGCAACTAAAACCAAAATAATCAGAGTCAGTCAGGACAAAGTTTGCTATCACAGGAAACCAAAAAGACCAAAGAGGGAAGGCAGCGCGATTTTGTAAATCATCGGTAGGGTGTGATGAGGTAAAATCAGTGGCAACTCCGGAATATTGTAGACACTCACGTGAAATTGGCTCCACTTCTCAACAAAACATTCCCTTCCTCTATTTTTAGGAATTACTAACTGCGACTGATCTGGCATCGCGTCTCGAGAACACAGAAATTAGCGAAAAGCTCCGAGAAAGAGTGCCAACACCTATAACCCCAAACACACCCAACACACCTAGACAACGACGAGCATTATCGGTAAGTGTGGCTTTCTGACGTAACTTCTGATTAGTCATTCGCTGTAACCGACTTACCGTCAGCCAATTAAGTTGCAAAGGCTTGTTAATTTCAGCCACAATGATTGTCGACATATAACGCGTCTTTTGGTCGGTCCATGTTTAAGTTCATTCTCCTTTCACAGCCAGTAAGGGTGTAACCGATATCACTATTAGCTTCAACGTACGAAAATGTTTCATTTTTATGTAGCCATTTAGTTTCTTGTATCAGGCAAACTAACTGCATGTGATGATTGTAAAGTAAAGGTTTATGTTTGCGTAAGGAAAAACCTATGCTGGTATGGAACTTGATCTAATCACAAACGGGAAGGTGTTCACACAGAGTTTCATAAAGAGTTTCAGGGACACAGGCAGGATTTTCCATTAAAGGCTGTTGCTAAATAAGGGTCTCGATGACTTTTACAGCTAACGGTTAAAATTTTGGCCATTTTACGGCTAATGGTTAACCCAAAATTACACACAATGACACATTCTAGAAGGGAAAAAACTTTTGTACGGTTAACTTTTGTTACGACTAACCGTTGAAATTCGTTAATTTTTATTTCTAACGGCGAAATGTTTTTGACCTTTTTTACGGCTAACAGTTCACTCGATTGAGACCCTCTTAAGTTAGTAGTTTTTTGCCAATGTTCCCAATGGAGAGGTGGTTTACAATCGCAAGGATAACTGGCTACTCTCAAGATTGTCTGGTGAGATTGTTTTAGCTGTGTTTTTCCTGATCGCGACACATGTTTTTTCCTCTCTGCAGAATGTGTATGACTCAGTACTCCTTGCGATCACGACTGGAAATGTGGAAGACTTGAAGGAATTTCTTGATGATGGATATTTGGACGAAGATCTCCTCGAAACTAAATCGGTAAGTTTACTTTCATTTTCTGAGAACTGGATCTCTAAGAAGTTTTCACTGACCTTCTCCATCGCATGTTAAGATGCCGAAAATTCTGAGAATTGAAAATTGATAACTTTTAATTGCCACCCTACAGGCCTTACAAAATGTTTGTTATCTTTCTTATGTAGGAGAATGGCGAAACACCCCTACATATTGCCATTAAACTGAAAAGCGTCGAAATTTGCAAAATATTGGTACAAGGAGGAGCTAAAACTGAAACTAAAGCGGTAAGTTAAACAAACGTTTTATGTTCGCTTGATTGTTTTTAGATTCTGTCAAAGATCTTCATAGTTTCTTTCTCGAGTAGAAATGTGTAACTTTGTGACAACCACGATAAAAAAATAATCAATAACAGACCCTTAGCCCTTCAATTGCAAGCAAAGATACCATTTCCAAGGTGATTTTTGAGCTAACCATGCCTTAATGGATAACTTGGTCTTATCAACTGTGTTGATGATACAACTTGAATTGGCCAGTTTAAAAGCTGACGTTTCGATCGTTAGCCCTTTCGTCAGAGCGGATGGAGGAGTTGTGGGTTGTGTGTGTCTTTATCTGCAGAATATGGAGCTATGCTAATAGTGGGAACATAGTAACGAGAAAAACAAGAATGAATTTGTTGAATGAAAAGCGTTCGTTGATACTGTGAAGATTAAGAGTGCCGATTTGAAAGATAAATATTTGTTTATTGGTTGGTTATTTCTCGCCTCTCTGTGATCCCATGAAAGCTGCAACTGTGGAGCACATGCTAGATTCATTTTTGGATTTATTTCTTCGTTCCCTGTAGGCTCAGGGAAATACTGCTCTTCACTTCGCAGCTGAAATGGGGGACATCAATATGGCCAGATTTCTTCAAGGTGCAAAAGCCAAAGCGAACGTTCCCAATGATGTACGGTTTGTCCTACATTTCAGATTTAAGCAATGCAAGCTAACGGATCTAACGGCAACTTTATAAAAATTTCATTTTGCTTGGTTGAATAATCAGACGAATTATTCTTTTTGCGATGCTCTGCCAATAACCTCTCATGCATGAACGAAACTTAATCGCTAAGGTCGATAAGTGGGTTCTCACAGCTCATGTATGGAGTGCAACAATCAGTAAGTATCCTTTTGCGTTGCATGTGCTGTTTAACCATCATTTGGGCTGGACTATGACATGAGAAAAGCGTTTTTCCACTTTATCAACCAATCACAAGACATTTTTGAGCATGTGTCCTGTGATTGGTTAATCAAGTGGATCGTATTATACATCCAGGTGTAGTTTCTGCTCAGTACTTGAAATGTTTCCTTTTCGTCCAGTGCCAAAACTATGAAGGATTGCTTTTCATTTCAGTATCGTGGAACAACCAACTCCATAATGGTTACAAGTGCCAAGAGAACATTGGTTCATACCACATCAAACCAATGAGAACTTTAAGTGATTAGATAGCAATGGCAGTAAACGCAGAGCAGAAGTTTTGCGTCTGATTTGCAAAAGGCGGTTATATTGGAACCATCTAAAATTACTTTAGTCCCCGATTACTTTCGACACTAAATTGCGAACAAACCTTGAAGCCGTTAACCTACTATGACTGGTGCGCGTACGCCTGGATTCGCCTTAGGCCTCCCCAATCTATGACTGGTGCGCGTACGCCTGGGTTCGCCTTAGGCCTCCCCAATCTATGCAGTTTGTGTCCTGAGACAACTTCACTCTTGTTACAGGCGGGAGACACGCCCTTACACATAGCATGCAGAAAAAAACAAGTGAATATTGTGGAATTGCTGCTGGGGAAATTCGGAGCTAACATCCACATAAAAAACAAGGTATTTTGTACACGTAACTTGTTAAAAAACAATAAAGCACTTTATTGTTGCGGATTATCATGTTTCCGAAGGACCTGGCAAGCTTTTGGAAGGTTTTAAAAGCGGGAGAAGTTTTATTGACGTTCAAAGTCCCAAACTTCTGTTTCTTTTTTGAAATGATCCTTTTCAAAGGCGAGGAAATATTATGTGTCGTTATTTTTGGTGTTAGACGGAATTGAAAGGCATGCGAAGTATTTGATTCTAGGTATAAAATCCAGGTCCCCTTTTCCCTTGCATCCTGACATCAGTATGCAAGTTCTCTCTACCGCTATCTAAACATTTCCTAAGGTACTTAGAGGGAGAATTTGTCCAACAATCAAGAGCTGTTTAAGTTTGCAATCATTTCCTTTATTCTCGGGTCGTTAATGTTTGATTCCTACAGGGACGCACTTGTGCTGTGTGGTCTTTGCATTCTCTCTGATCGGAGTGCCGCTGCATGCACTAAGTTTATCCAGAGAGTTCGGGACACTGGTGTCCTTGCTTACTTGCTGCCACATCGCACAACTGTGTCCCATGGATACAATCTATACTCAGGCACTCTTAGAGATGATCCCGCTAGGGCTTTTACTAATCGTCTCGATAAATTTGTTACTTATAGGTATTCTTAGTTAAATGTTTCATGTTATTGTATAGATATGATTTGTATCCTGACCACTCATGTAATTTAGCTGTAAGCTACAAAAAGAGTAATTAAACTGATTATTATTATTATTATTATATTATTATTATTATTATAATTATCCAGAGTTGACTCTATTGGGAGAAATAAGATGTTCATTACGCCTATGGGTTAACCCTCTAACTCCCACGAGTGACCAAGACAGAATTTGTTCTCATCGTATCAACACAACATCAAGCAGACAAAAGTTGAGAATCAAGAAAAAATATCAATGAGGGGATTATTGATTGGTCCAATGCCAAATTCTCCAAACCAACATCTTTGGAATTGGATAGCAGACAGTTAGGAGAATTATGAAGGAGATCTTGGGAGTGAAAGGGTTAAAACGGTTGCTATTTTTGGCGTGAGGGTATCTCGGTTTTCCACAAATCAGGCAAGCTCTGCTTATATATATATCTTATTAACCAAGCGCGAGGGCCGTACTGGGAGAATATCGGCCCGAGGTCTTGACAGTACGGACCGAGCGCAGCGAGGTCCGTACAAAAAAGACCGAGGGCCGATATTCTTCCAGTACGGTCCCGAGCAAGCTTGGTTAATAAGAGATTTATTACACGACTGAAGTTCAAAGGGACACAAGTGCAGTATCATTCGGGACCATTCGGGACCATTCGAGACAGTGCCCGGTTCAATACTGAGAGAATATTGACCGGCAATAGAGCATTTTGATTGGTTGATTTTAGTTATTGGCCCTCTGACTGCCCGAGTCGTGTTATAAAATACTATAACGATCGAGTTTTTTTTTTTTTGCGTTTCGAAAAACCAAAACCAAGGTATTCACAACAGCCAATCGGAGTGAAGGATTACGTCATCAATGGGCAATAAGAGCTCCTAAACAAGCAAACTGTGCAAAACGCGGGAAAACGCGAGTGTATAAATTAAGATTGGTTTTTAGTTTTGAATGTGATTGGTTGAGATGGTAGCGCGAGTATTCTGGACCAATCGAGGAGAAAAGTTAAGCGAACCAAAGCAATGATGGATTACCTTTGACACTCAGTTGAAAACGGTACTAATGGAACAGCTTGAAATCCAGTGTCTCTCGATTGAATCTTTTGGGGTTGGCTGTTGTTTACGAGGGAGAGAAAGATCGAGGATAAAACCTCTCTCAGGATGGAAGATGAGGGCAAAGAGCACTTTTCATAACAACCGAGAAGAACATAGGTAATGGCCAGACAGAGTCAATTCAGTTTTCAGTGGGAGCAAAAATCGCTTCTTAAGCGTTTGAGGTGAAGTCTTCGTCAGAATAACTCCCTGAACAATCAAACACGAGTTATACTCTAATGCGCCAGTCGATCATTTGGTGATAGCTTCTGTTTTCTATTTCGTCTGTGTTGCTTCATAGGATGAAGGAAAAACTCCATTACATGTAGTAGCACAAAAAGGTGACGAAGAAATGGTGAAATACCTACATGGCTTGAAAGTGAATCCCAACACACTTGATAACGTAAGTAACTTATCTCACGAGTGGAATTGTTGCATGGGGGCATACGAAGGAAGTGAGAAGAAGAACTAACATCCAGTAACGAAAAGTGTCTTATGAACATTGTCGTCTCGATTGCTTGAATTTGAGCCGTCGACCAATTGAATTTGAATGAGAGGAACCCGAAACCTGGAGAGCCCAAAAGGAAATTAAATTCTTCAACAAAAGACCTTGGATTGGTTGGTTGCATGGACTCGTATGTAATCAGTTAGACACTCATACTTGAGTTTTGTCCTAGTAGTACGACATGTGAAAGTCTTTCTTTCTTTTACCCACAGGACGACATGAATCCTCTTCACTTGGCAGCCAGTGCTGGACATCAAAACATCGTGTCTTTTTTTCTGGACAAATTTAAAGTGGACGTGTCTTCCAGAAGTAGGGTAAGGAAACTATTTACATGATGTGCCAATTAAGATCCTGAAAATCTACCCTCTAGAGTCCCACAGTTTTAAGCAAAATGCTCAATTGCGCGACTGAAAGTAAACCCACGCGGCTTCTGGGCAAAGTAAAAGGTCCATTTTTCAAAGATCGAGAGGTAATTGTCTAATGCCCCGCTCAAAAAAGGCTGCTATCGTTTTGATTTACACGCGCATTCCGTCTAAAATTGAAGATATCAGGTGTTGCTGAAATCCCGGCTTGTTCTGGGATGACTGGCAAATTGGTCCATTTCTATTGAATATTATTTATTTTTAAAAAAAAGAAGTTTTTGGCCAGGTGGAATGAATTCTATAATTTATCTACGTTAATTGTTTTATTGAGAAATTACGACAAAATCACGAAAAATGCTTAATCAGTGTGATCTGGCCAGTTAGTGCCGTTTAAAAATAAGTGCTCCGCAGTTACGGAATAAGATGTACCCAGTGTGGAACGTTCTTCTGGGTATGACAGGGACCATGCATATTTGTCCTAGTTGCCGATTTACCTTTTTACTTCCAAGATCTGATTTGTTATTCTCCCTCTGCTTGCTAAATATTTCCTTGTAAATTAGTCGCGAGAATTTGGTGTTACATCACGATAACAGCTTCTACCTGATAAGTTTGAATATTCTCATTACCTGTGTTATAATATCATTCAATCAAGCATAAACTCAACAACTAGTAACGAGCTTTTTGACATGCCCGCCGACACGAAAGTTAAACAACACAATGTACATGGCTTCCCGTTTTCGGGGCACCCTTGTAAGTCACTCAGAACGCCCCATCAGTGTCCTCTCAACAATCCCTAAGGTCTTCGAAATGCTTAAGTTTGATCAGTTGTATCGTCATTTCTCACCTCTGTTTTTGGACAATATGTCTGGTCTTCTTCGCAGTCATCCGTGTTGTACTGCCTTACTCAAACTAACTGAAGACTGGCGTCTAGCCCTGGACTCGAAAAAGGGTGTGGGGGTGATTGCAATTGATTTATCAAAAGCATTTGACTCAATATGCCATAATATTTTACTTGCTAAGTTACGAGCGTATGGCTGTTAAGAGTCTGCCATTAGGCTCATTCAGTCGTATTTCACTGACCGTTTCTAAAGAGTGAAAGGCAATGGGAGTTCTTCTGATTGGCTACCAGTTCGGTGTGGAGTTCCTCAAGGCAGCCTGCTAGGACCCCTTTTTTTCAATATTTTGTTAATGATGTTAATTATACAGTCGGCACCTTCTCACTCCGTCTATACGCAGACGATACAACACAGTACGCAGCCCACACGTCCCCTGTAGTGCTTGAATCTACTGACCCTGAATCATGATGTTATAAAACTGACACAGTGGTTCTCCGCTAACCATCTTCATGTCAACGCAGCTAAGACGCAAGCAATGACCCTGGGCAAATCTCAGTTTACATACCGCTTTTCAGTGGAGGATTAGATAATTGACATTAAGCCTACTATAAAAATTCTTGGCGTAAACTTGGACGAGGATCTGAATTATAAGCCTCATGTGGATTTTATGCTAAAAAAAGCTTACGCTAAAATAGCGGACTTGCGTAAAATAAAGCGATTGGTTCCTTCAAATGTGATGATCACTTTATACAAAGCCTACGTGCTACCGAACTTTGAATACTCTTCTCCATTACTGCTAGGGATTTCGCGAACATTGAACAACAAACTTGAACGTGCCAATCATTATGCATTAAGATCTATTTTAAATTTGGGGAACTCAGTCTCCTACGACGATTGTCTATCTATCGCCTCAATGGCCTCACTTGAGCAAAGACGTATCGAATATTCGCTCACTGCATTTTTCCAAAGTTTTAGGATGCACGGCCCTAACTATATAACTAATTTTTTTAAGCCTAGGGTTACCAACTACAACCTACGAGGTAGTGGATTAAACGTCTCTCAACCATCCTATAATAATCGTTTTATGCATAATTCTTTTTCTTACTTTATTGCCCATGTGTGGAATAAATTGCCTTTGTCTACCAAATCAGCTCCTACGGTCCAGCATTTTAAATCATTAATCAAAAATGTAGAGTATAAAGCATGTCAATGTCAGAGCTGTATCTTGTAGCTTTTTTTTCTTTTTTTTTTTAACTTTTATATCAATTTTTATTGTATATAGTTTAATGAATTTATCTCATATCGATATTTATCTATTATTTAATTTATATTTCCTTTAGTCGAGCGTTTTATACATGAGCCCTTGGCTCGGGAGATTGGGTGACCACTCCCCACGTTATCGACGATAAATAAAGTTCATTCATTCAGGGGTGCCTAAGGGGATCCCCAAAGGTTTCAATATTACAACAACCTGTTTGCTGTATAATATATGTATAATATAGGGCGAAGTTACATGTTTACCACTTCTGGGAGTAAGATAGTTTAAGATGGCTGTCTGTATACAAACTGATTGCTCAAAATCGTTCTTCTTTAGGATGGCAGTACCTTACTTCATCAGACGTGCATGGCGGGTCAGTTGGACGCCTCCAATGCCTTGATAAAGAAAGGTGTCCTTGTACACATGCCTAATAAGGTAATGCTATATCATATTTTATACATTACTGGCTTTTACACAGAGGGTACAATTTGGTCACGTTATTAGGGCACCGGCTCCTTTGGTCCTGGGTTAAAGTTCAGCACTGTGCTAGAGAATACGTAGATCTGGAATCGGTGGTGCCAAATTTAACTCTAAAACGTTTGCTTTTGACAGTTTTCCATCTCTTAAATAATATTTGTGGTTAATTAATATATTTCCTTTTAACTGAACAGAGTGGTAGCTTATGTATTCACGAGGCGGCGAAGAAGGGTCACCTAGGTTTGGTTAGAATGTTGATCGAAAGAGGAGTTCCCGTAAACTTCCAGAATAAGGTAAGGAGTAAAAATAACCGAACGATTTCCTTTGTGAGTCATTCTTTTAATAGGCTATCCATCAATGGCAATAAACTCCTCCGAAGTACTTTTCTTTAACTTTCTAGTTAAAGCGGTCAGACACGAGCTAAAAACGAAGGACGGGTGACTGGACTGTGACTATAAACTGAAGATTTTGAGATCGAAATAACCCTGTCTTAGATCACGAACCTGAACAAGTCTAAAGTGTATGTCCGTAAAGAGGGATCAAAATGAAAGCAAAATACTTGAAGTAGTTCCACGAATGAGTTCATTTAGTGATGTGATCAGACTCTTTTGTCCTTTATATAACGGATCGAGAATTTTTGTTCACAGTAAAGTAGTTAACTGTTGAGTTCATTTTAGTTATGTGATCAGCTATGTTTGTCCTTTACAAAACAGATCGAGACTTTTGTTCATTATAAGGTGCTGTGTCACTATGTTATGAATCAATTTCTGGGGTCGTAGAGGATTAGTCGAAGAAAGAATAAAACATGTAGGTAATCGTTTGGTAGGTTAGACGAAGTCCTAAGGAATGAGGACTGTTGAGGATGAGAAATATTGACACCGATTGCAAATGATAAATTGCAACATTTTGGGGAACTTTTCTCAAGATCCACAGACCTTGACTTGGATATTTTAATTTGTAAAACTCTGGAATCTTACGAGTCTGGTAAAGAATCGTTCTTGTTCGTGGTTTGTACAGTGCTGCTGCACAAAGCATTTATTCTTGGCCTCACTCTTCTTATGTCTGACAGCGTAAATACACTCCACTTCATCTGGCTGCTCTTAGTAAGAAACATCAAGTTGTGCAACTGCTGATTGGACACGGGGCGGAAGTCACAGCTATCGGTGGTTTGGTAAGGCTTTTAGAAATCTCTGTTACTTTACAGCGCGACTAAGTATCGTAATACCAAAACCAGAGAAATCACAACGCTCAATAAAAGGAAAAGAAAACTTCACAAGGAATCAATCAGATCTCAGAGAAAATACGTGTAACCAGTCAGAAGCGCAGAAAACCTTGAGTGGTCAATTTGGGATGGCTTAAGTTCTGCAACTGATTGGCTGTTAGGCTGCTTAAGCTCTGCATCTGATTGGCTGTTAGGCTGCTTAAGTTCTGCGTCTGACTGGCTGCCAAGCTGGTTTGAGTTTTATACACCAATTACATAGCAAGGGAAAAAAGCGATACCATTTCAGTTGCTGTGATTATTTTGGATATTCAGTTAGACTTTGCTCTGAATTTCTCTGCTAACTCACAGATGAGGTTCGAATTTTTGATACGCCATTTACGCTCGACAAGAAAACTGGCACTTGGTGTCAATGAATTACTCTCACATCTTCTGACTCCTTCTATTTTCGTTTGTGGTTTTGTAGATGAGGTATGTTGGCCTGTTCTAGTTAAATAGTATTTTAAACCCTTATTATTACAATTTTAGGCGAAAGAAACTCCACTACATATGGCTGCCAAAGTTAAGGGAGGAGAAAAAGTTGTGGACGTTTTGATCAAAAGTGGAGCTGACCCAGACACTGCAAAGGACGTAAGATTCTAAAGAATTTAAATTGTTTTTTAATCGGCTTACAACTTAGTCTACTGTGGCGGACCAATCACTATTGATATAGTGATTGGTTTACGCGTAATGCAAACTTCCCCCCCCCCCCCACTTCCTCCTGGTGCAGATCACAACCAACCCCTTTGTGACAACAGCAACAAACCATTGAAAACATTGTCAGGGGTATGATTTGATATCTCTAAAACAGACTTGTGGTTTCCATCCACAGAATGGTGAGAGAGCTCTTCATTTAGCTGCCAGGTGTGGAAATTTGGAAGTAGTAAATATCCTCTTGCGAGAAAATACTGAGGTGGCCCGCAGGAGCAAGGTATACTTAAAATTACTACTTTTGACATTCAATTCAAAATTGCTCTAAAGGACTCAATTGTTATATATTCTGTTGCAGTCAGGAGATACCCCACTTCACTTTGCCTGTCAAAATGGACACTTTCAAATAGTGGAGGCTCTGATCAAGCAACTTTTCAAGGACAAGACCTACCTTCTCGCTCGTTTGATTGTCAACATACCAAATAATGTAAGTTTATGGTTTATTGTACGGACCTGATGTTACCACACAACTGTGCAAAATTCTCTTCCACCAGCGAAGGCTTCCTTAAACCCTTTACACTCTTGCATTAGTATTCATATTCTCAACACTGATTTCTCTAAATTTTCTATGATACTAGCAAAGTGTAGTTCAGTTTTTGAGAACAGGAGTTTTGTAAAATAGTGATTATTTGCAATATTCTCATAACCTTTGCATTTGATTCGAGGGTGATACGGTAAGGAGAAACAAGAGGCTAGTCACTCTTGGGGGTTAAAAGTTTCACTGATCTAAAGATCATTTCTAAGCATTGTGTGCCATACATTTCCTGGAATTTTGACCTTGAGAATTTACTCCACAATCCAACAATCAGGTCTCCTTCTGATATTTTAATTTCCTCACTTCACCTTTCTCCTTAAAAAATTATTGTTATATATTGTAAGGATAAATTTCTCATCGGCCACATCTGGGAGCGGAAGGGTTAACGCGTTACTATTTGCTTTAAGCTTGGAGTGACCGCCCTTCATTCGGTGGCTGGTATTCCTCAAGGAACAGCGGGTACAGAAGATCTTGTTAATACTGTGGAGATTCTTCTTAATCATGGTGCAGACCTGACTTTTTCAACGTACCAGGTAATGCGCAATAGTGTTGAGAATAGTAGCCTGGGAGAATTGTACGTTACTGTAGCTGAAACAACAGTAGTAGCCTGCGGGCAGGCCGTCATTATTGACGCTGAAGGACGAGTGTTCTTCGCCTGTAAGAGTCGGAGGCCTGAACCAAAGAGAACCGGCGTGAGGTCTGGCACTCATTATTAGTGCCCAACCCCTCACAGACCTCTCACCGGCTCTCTTTACCAGGCCTCAACTTTTCTTGCAGACTTCCAGCTTCTTTGGTATGTAAGCTTTGTCGTCATACATCATTTTATTTGTGTGTTTTTTTTTTTTTTTGAAGAACTACACTCAATATGATCGCGACTGCTATGAAAGGTTTCCTTTATGACTAGCCTCTTTTAATTCATTGTTTTAATTTTTTTGCGTTATTTAGAAAGGAGAGACACCCCTTCACTGGTGCGCACGGTCAGGAAACTATCAAATGATTGAGAAAATCTTTACTTTCCCAAAGGTTCCAGAGTACATTAGACTGAGTATCATCAACAAGACAACTGCGGTAACTAACACAACACTATACACGCAGTAGGGTGGACTTCTAATTCTGATTTCTTCGTGTGGGACACAACTGTCTGGTTGACTGAGCTGTCTCAACAGAGGCATAGACAGGGGAGGGCGAGGGGGAGGGGAAGGGGAAGGGGGAGGGGAAGGGCTTATATTCAAGGGCTGGGTGGTTCAAAGGTGGGTTAAGATAAACCAAGGTTAGCGGGAAATTTGATTTCAGATCCAAAAACTTTAAAAGAAAATTTAGTTTAATTCCATCTGTCTACAATTTCATGGTTATATGCTCTGACAAGAATTGGGAAAATTATCCCAAAACGGCTTTTGAGCAGAGAAATGTAGAAACCATGGATTAAAATTTAACCCTGGGTTAGCGCTAATCGGCCTTCGAGCAACTGGGCTCAAGGTCCTACTTGGGCGGTTAGTTGGACAGTCAATTGAAGTGATCACTACCAGCAAGAAACTACTTGGGACAATTTTAAACTAAAACTGTTCTCAGATACAATGAAATATATGAAGTTCATATATTTTAAACTGCGGTATTAGATACAAAATTCAGGTCTGATTTTCGCTATTGCTTAAATAGCGCTATCTACTGCGAGGATCGTGCATCATATGTAAAACCATTCTATCCTATACACGATATGTAAAATTCTCGTATTTCTAAAAAAGGAGATTTTCATGGTTTTGTAGAGCGGAGCGTCCCCACTGATGATCGCCTCGCAGTATGGCATGCTAGAAGTGGTGCAAGCTCTTTTGCGTTTTCACGCCAGAGTGGATGTTTTTGACGAGGTACCATGTGATCTAAATAAAATTTAACTAATTATAAAATTAAACCTTAAAAAATACTGGTGTTATATCAACTCAATGTATTCTCTTCGGTGTAGTCCCCTCGCATTGCAAGAGTAAGCCGAGTTGTCTTTTTAAGTTAGCTTATTATTGGTAACTAGCATAAATACTTTTCACTCAAGAGAGACCACAAAATATAAGCTCAGAGAGATGGAAAAAAAAAAACAAGATTAAAAGATGGAGGAGATAAAAAAGAAGACTTTGTAGAGTGGAATTGTGGAATTAGAGCTGATACTTTTTATTTCCCTCTTGTAAGATGGCATGGAATTTTGTGGGGATTTTTCTCTGTTTTGCGGGAAAAAATGTACGCAATTCTCCATGACTAAAATGTCTTCTGGTAACGAATTATTACGATTTTATGTTGAAGGAGCAGAAGAATGACAAGAAAAGTATTTTTTCGAAGTTTATTTCTTGTCGATATATACAGAGGGGAGCTATGCGGTGGATGATTTGTAGATAGATATTTAGAGAGTGCACGCATTGAAACTTCTCGTTGCTTTTGTATTTCAAGGCAGGCGGCACAGCTCTGCACTACGCTGCATCCAGAGGACATGTGGAGGTTGCACGTGAACTGTTAAATAGCAAAGCTTATGTGAACGGCAGAACCAAGGTTTGTGCAAAACTTTTAGTTTCAGATCTCACAGAACCACTCATTCTAAATTTGGTTCTTAAAAAATGTTTTCATATACTTTTTAAAGTATTTACCACCCCAATTTGAAGCCTGATATTATCTAAACAAGTCTACGTGCGAAAACTCTGAGAAAGAATAAGTAGTTTCTTTAAACGCAATGACAGACAAATGTGGAGAATACGTTCAATTTCACATGTCACAGCACCAGGAGTCATGTGAGTTCCTTTACTGTCTGAACTTCTGACAGTAAAGGAACTCAAACGACTCCTGGTGCTGTGACATGTAAAATTGAATGTAAACTGAATCTTAACCTCTTGTGTCTTGCGCAAACAACTCGAAAATGCGTTTGGCCATTGAATACAAGCAAGTCCCAAAGTTGTGTGTGATGCAGTGGTTTTGGAGTTAGCACTCGGCTCCCTCAAATATTCCGAACCGTTTGCTCGATTTTTAGTTATTAGCCCCTCTAAAGTGTATATTTCTGGTTTTTTTGTTTGTTGTTTTTGTTTTATTTTAATCGTTATTTATGATGAGACACACTGTAATGTACGGATTCATCACTCCCAAACATTGATTCAGATCAAACAAACAACTCAAAGTTTCATCCATTGCTTCAAACGTGACAAAACTTAAGACCAAAGATAACAAAAAAGTAATTGTTGGAGTCACATCAATTTTCATTCTGTGCTTTCAACGAGTTTCAGTAGCTTACGTATGATGTTCAGTTATTGCCAGTTGACGTTCGAACACATCTTGTCACGACCCAGCAAATGACAACAGTTACTAACTGCTAAATTTTACCCAAATTGATAACCTCATATGTATTGGTCATTAATGTTCTCTTTTCAGCCAAATGTCCGTTATTCAAGCGATAAAACACGCAAAGACAACAAAGAAGATTTGCCTGTAAGGGCTCCATTTATGACTTCACTAGAATATTTCCTCTACGAAATCTTCCTTTAAATCATCTGTCTTTGCCTTTTAGCGCACTGCACTGTGATAAATGGCCTTGTTACACTCTTTTAAATAACTTGCATAACCAGAAAAAAATGTTAAGTCATAGCGTCTTTTTTTTTGTAAGAAGAGTTTATTCTATTAGTATTTTTCGATTGAGTGTCGAAAACCAAAGTTTTCACAGCAGCCGGTCAGACGAAAGGGAAATTTCATGAGTAACTATTGAGAACTCAGAGTGAAAACGCACAAGCTGCCTGAAGCGCGGGAAAAAAGGGGGTGACCAAGTCGTAATTGGTTTGATTTTTGAATCTGATTGGTTAAGAAATGGTGGGAGTTTTGTGGACCAATCGAGAGGCGAAGTGAAAGAAAACAAACGAAGTCGACGCTCAATTGAAAACTGCTCTGTGATAAAGCAGTGCTATACGCAAATGGCCTCTGCTTTGCTCTTCTCTGCATACTGACGAATAAATAAGCTAATAAATAAACAAATAAATAATGAAATAAATAAAGGATCAATAAATAGATACTTGAGTAAATAAATGAATAAATGCATAGATAAATAAAAAATAATTTTTAATAATTTAGTCTTCTCTCTCTCTATTTCTACGTACGAATATTTGATTAAAATAAAATTTACTTCGCGAGTCATCGTCTTGCCACACCAAGAATTTCCAGGTTGGTATTAAAATATATTAAAACGCCGAAGTAACTAAATTTTAAAGACGTTAGCCGAAGCGTGCAAGGTTCTTTCTTCCACAAATGATTCCAGTGACTGCGTTTAGATAGTTTGCTCAACTGCCAAATAAAGCGAAAGGGCGGTCAGCTATTTTCATTCCTGTTTTTATGCTATCCATATAAGAATTAGAAATCTTTTGTCAACTCCTCCACTCTGGAGATCTTTCTCGAAAATATGCGTTTCAGTCGTTTTTTTTACATTTGGATAAAAGCTTTGAAAACTTTGACGTCATATCTGTGTGCGAACGTGAATGATGCATTTTGGGTAGATAGCCTGAGCCTCAACTGAATTGTTACGAAGTTCCAAGGAGAAAAGCACCAAATATCGTCTTCACTTCTTTGTACTTAATAGTCACCTTTTTTCTTGTAGTTCACCGTGAAACTTTCTTAGTCTTAGAAACGTCTTTGCCAACTCTGTTCTGCTCGCAGTCACAAATCATACCTTATGGTACTGTTACGGTATTCAATAACGTATGGACCTTTTCCAGATCGGTACGACTCCTCTTCACATGGCAGCCGAGATGGGTCACCCAGAATTTGTTCGGGTGCTTATTACCAAGTATAATGCCATTACCGACCCACTGACTGTGGTGAGTATCTTCTAACATCAATATACATTACTGTTCTCTTTATATTTAACAAATGGTAAACACCACAGCGTACACTATTGAGTTATGGATGCACGCGGGAGGTTGCTTAGCACGAAAGAAGCGTAAGAGTCGCTCGAGGCGATAGCCGAGAGCGACTCTAGCTTCTTGAGTGCTTAGCAAACCTCCCAAGTGTTTTATAACATTTGTTTTATAACATTTGTTTTATAATATTTGTTTTATAACATTACATTGATACATTGTAGCTAAAGAGTTCCCTTTTATTTAACAAATCTTACGCGACCAGAAAAAACAAGCGCGCGCGGAAAAATAGTCTTTGCATTTGCTCACGTCAGCAGCGTACACCCATGGGCAAATGGGGGTCGCTAAATTGACCAATCAGAGCGCGTGCTTTACTTTGGTTATGTTATAATTCCTAAGGTACTTGAACTGAACAGAAGCAGTGTAACATGGTATCCATTTTTTAATCAGAACCCACTTCGATTGTGCGAACCCGGTGTTCATATTAACTATAAACCAACCTATTTCACTTTTGACTCACTGCTTTAGTTGTGCTTGCTGCTTTTTCATGAATACTATAATAAGAATGATTTTTCTCCAGGACAAAAAGAGTCCCCTTCATTTAGCAGCTGAGTATGGCAGGCTTGAAGTGTGCAAGGTTCTACTGGATCTACGGGCGGATGCTAATGTGGCAGACAGTGTGAGTTCTTTCGGCTAGATACCTTCCACAGCCGATGTCACTGAGAACATTTGACAATGAGTATGCAGTTTCTGGCCAGATCAGTTTTCTGGTCTGAGTCATTTCTGTTAAAGGAGAACTGTCTCCCATATACTGGTGGGGCATTTTAGTTTCCCATAGGACGAAAATTTAGCGTTGACACAGACTTACCGTAGATATTTCGACAATGTCTTTGATGGGTGCAAATCACAGAGTCATTGACAGGAGAAAAATCGAAAAATTTAACAAAATTCTAGAACGTGATTGGTTCATACCTGCCCGATTTGCGCGCTAATTGGACAGTGTACGCGTCATGCCTGTGTGATTGGACAATACGCGTCATGCGCTTACAGATGATTAGTTTGTTTCTCTAATTTTGTCAAAGTTTTGAGAATTAGTAACACCGAGGGCTTTGCGTCGTCCAATTCTATCTATAATCAAACTCGTGATTAACAATTTACTATTAATCACTCGTATGATTACAGATCGAACTAGACGTTACTATTTCCTATAACCAAGCGTTGAAAGTAATGCAAGATTGCATTGCATATGCTTCCTTATGCTATGTAGTTGATGAACTTGTGCAGCCTTTATAACCAATTAGATGCATAACTAAAACAAGCGAATCTTCATCACTCGGGCTGTCCCGCTGTTAAGGGAGTTTGGTTATACTTACCACGAGTTCTTGCCGACTCTTTACCCTTCACATCCAAACTTCAATATACATATTCTCCACACTATCTTCCACATACAGTCGAACCTCCACTAACGACTATCTCTCTACAATGACCATCTCTCTACAACGGCCACGTCATTTGGTCCGGGTGGGCTGTCCATACATTACACCCCTACCTCCCTACAACGGCCACCTCTCCACAAAGGTCACGTTATTTAGTCCCGGTGGGCTCTCCATACATAACACCCTTATCTCCCCATAACGGCCACCTCTCCCCAAGGGCCACCTCTCCACAACGGCCACGTTTTTTGGTCCCGGTGAGCTGTCCATACATTACACCCCTACCTCATCACAACGGCCACCTCTCCATAACGGCCACGTTATTTGGTCCCGGTGGGCTGTCCATACATTACACCCCTACCTCCCTCACAACGGCCACCTCTCCACAAAGGTCACGTTATTTAGTCCCCGTGGGCTCTCCATACATTACACCCCTACCTCCTTATAACGGCCACCTCTCTACAGTGGTCACTTCTCCACAACGGGCACGTTATATGATCCCGGTGGGCTGTCTATACTTTCATTTAAACCTCTCCACAACGGCCACGTTTTTTGGTCCCGGTGAGCTGTCCATACATTACACCCCTACCTCATCACAACGGCCACCTCTCCATAACGGCCACGTTATTTGGTCCCGGTGGGCTGTCCATACATTACACCCCTACCTCCCTACAACGGCCACCTCTCCACAAAGGTCACGTTATTTAGTCCCGGTGGGCTCTCCATACATAACACCCTTATCTCCCCATAACGGCCACCTCTCCCCAAGGGCCACCTCTCCACAACGGCCACGTTTTTTGGTCCCGGTGAGCTGTCCATACATTACACCCCTACCTCATCACAACGGCCACCTCTCCATAACGGCCACGTTATTTGGTCCCGGTGGGCTGTCCATACATTACACCCCTACCTCCCTCACAACGGCCACCTCTCCACAAAGGTCACGTTATTTAGTCCCCGTGGGCTCTCCATACATTACACCCCTACCTCCTTATAACGGCCACCTCTCTACAGTGGTCACTTCTCCACAACGGGCACGTTATATGATCCCGGTGGGCTGTCTATACTTTCATTTAAACCTCTCCACAACGGCCACTTTCTTCTGTCCTCAAGGAGGCCATTGCGGAGCGGTTCAACTGTATTCACTTTGTTTCTGACCAAGAGAATTTGTTTGATGATCAAACGCTTTTTAATTTAGTGATCATTTAGTTTATTTACATAACTTTAATGTTTGAGGCACTGTAAACAGAAATTAGAGGAGAGGGGAGGGGGGGGTGGGGAAGGGTTAGGATGTAAACCTTTGATCTGATTTGCTGTTGGGATTACATTGGTTTTGTTTTCGCTTTTGTTGTTGTTGTTTCCTTGTTTGTATTTTCTTTCTTTTTTTTCTGCGACACCGAACATAAAAACACGATTTATTAATGTAATTACGTGGCTTTTGTCTTGAACAGAAAGACATGATTCCTGTACATTACGCTGCCCTTAATGACAGGGAAGAAGTCGTCGAATTATTTTTTAACCTGAGACCCGACACCATGACACAAGTTAACGCGGTAAGCTCAGGAAAACTCCATTTTTTTGTTTGCTCGTTGTTTTGTTGTGATTTCTACGACTGTAGGTAACGAAGATGCGACTGAACCACTGCCGTCTATGATCTATCAAATATCTTTAATAATCAGATGACAAATCAGACTAGATTGAAGCATATTTTAAAGACAATTTTTGTCTCTCCCCAACTTGTGGCTTCGTGGTTCAGTCGTAGTGGCACCCAACTTGTATGGGGGGAAGGGGAGGAAGCGTGGTACATTGTAGCTAAAGAGTTCCCTTTTATTTAACAAATCTTACGCGACCAGAAAAAACAAGCGCGCGCGGAAAAATAGTCTTTGCATTTGCTCACGTCAGCAGCGTACACCCATGGGCAAATGGGGGACGCTAAATTGACCAATCAGAGCGCGCGCTTTACTTTGGTTATGTTATAATTTT